CGAATATCAAAAACAAGAGGAGTTTGCCGCCATGTTCAGTTTTACGCTTCGCCGTCACTTTTCTAAATACACATTCAAATTGTTATCCCATAGTGGAACACACAGAAGCTTACTAATGCTTGATTCCTCAACTGGTTACAGTGGGGGCACACACATCCCTGTTCCATTTTGTGATGTTAGACAAAGCAGGCACTTGAGAAAGAGAAGCAATAAACCAGCGTTCTCATTTAATGGCTGAGAGTTATATGGTCTACCTTTTTCCATACAAGTTCCATGTCCGCAGACAATAAGTGAGAAAAAGACTCTCCTTATCTTCCAGGTTACTGGTGAATCAAAATGATCATCGGCATATTGTTGTACGAGACAGTATATGTTATCGGTTCTTCAGTAAGAGATTATATGCATGCTTCTAATGTACCTCTCCGAACGTCTCGAATTACCAACTCGAGCGTTGAATTCACTAACAGCTATCATATTACTTAAACGCTTTGCTTTCTGCCATTAGTAGGAAAGCATGCAGTGGGATGCATGCTTAATGTCACTAGTCTATGAGAATTAAAGTAAAATTTTGCAATGTGTATCGACAAGAGTCAAACCGAATTCCCAGGATATACAGATATGCTCAGTCGACCAGACAGTAAACGCCTAGCACCAATCTTCCATTCAAGAATTATGGCTTCTTCACTGTAGAAACCATCGCTAGATCTACGCCAGTGATTAATGATATTCAAGGCTGTTAGCAGTCTCTTTCAGTTGGTATCGTTAGGCCCACCGAATCGCTTTGACTATTAGTATTCCAGGCAAGTTTATGCAATTTTTCATCAAAACAATTTCAAACAAGTGGTTGTTTACTGGAGATATTCATCATTGGGGTGAATAACTATGGACCTAATGGTTTAGGAGTCATACGCAGGTCTCAATGCATACGTCAATCTATTTTGGCGGGTTTTGAAAATGATGCAAAAATTTAGAAATATTCTGTGTTGTTTTAAAAACACTCAGATATACCAGTAGTTCTCCGTGAAATGCATCAGATCTTGTAGTAGTAGTTTTGCAAATAAATGTTTACTTTTCTGCATGACAGACATGCGGAATTCTCATACTTTGTCGGTTCAGGGGACGAAAAACATCGGAGACAGTTAAGGAGTGACATGCTTTTAGATTTGTATACCACTTACGAATACTAAGGTTTGCTTTTCCATGAAAGTGTTGGAAGTAAGTCAGTAAAGTGAGAAACGCCACATTACCAACAGTTCAACCGAATGATTTTTCATTTATCATTATTTGTCCTTCGAGTTCCTAGTGGAACATAGGGATTCAGTAGTACGCCTCCATTCCACTCTGTTTTCTATAGTCTTTTCAACCTGGCGCCACAAGCTTTCATTTCTTTTTCACATTCACTCCTCCATGTCACCCTCAGCTAGGATGCCCAATTTGTCGTTTCCCCTTGCGATTGCACTCAAGGGCTTGGCATGGTGCGTGACGTTCTAAGTCGACCCACTCAGTGTATGCCCAATCCAATCCATACACACTTTACTCCACTGCATATTTGTAGGGTGATGGGTTCTTGGTTGGTTGGTTGTCAGCCAGCATGCCAGCCAGCCAGCCAGAGTTTCTTGTTGCTTGTTCTTATTATTCTGGCCATCTGATCTCCATCTTCAGTAACGAGCCAGCGTAGGCAGCTGTTCATGAATGTTTGAAGTTTGCTGAGATTGCTCTTCGTGACGTGCCAAGTCTCTCAACCATCACATGGAAGCACTGAGTTACTTGACTGAGATAAGTGTTGAAAATCCGGATGTTGTTCACGCTTTATGCTGAGTGGGGTGGGGTGGAGTGGAGTAGATCTCCTCACTGATTTCAGGTTAATGAAGGCCTGTGTTGCTGCCTTACCTATCCTGGCTTTGACGCCCTCATCTGTGCGGCCACCGACACCGCCGTCGCCACCATCACCGTCACCACCTGTAGTTGAGAGGATGCTGTCAAGATGGTAGATGAAATAACTAACCTCCTTCAGATTTCTCCCGTTTATGATGATTGGTGCTTGTTGTTGCCTTTGTTGTTGTTGGTTGGATATCTTCATCACCTTTGTATTCTCTATGTTCACCTGGAAGAAGTCCTGTCTTCTCTGCCTCGCCTGTTCTGCCAACTTGTTAGTTTTGCTTGTGAATCTTCGAGTCTGTGAAATATTAGACGACGTTTCGAGCATGATTCACTGCTCATGAGCATAACATTGATATGACTGATACGATTATGAGCAATAATTTATGCTCGAAACATCAAGTAAATAATACTATATCACTGTGTGTTGTAGATCAAATAAACAAATCTAATATGGAAATAAATTCTAACATAGTACACAAGTTTTACACGAATACGACTGGAACAGACGGGCTGGCTCCAAGAAGGTCAAATCATGTAAGGATCAAATCGCAGCGTTAGGCTACGCATCCTTACAGAACGGAGCAGAGAATGGCAGTCAAATCAACTCTACCTCAACTTCATCGATTTTGAATAAGCCTACGAAAGAGTCGATCAAGTATGCCATATGATAACGCAACATGGCAAGTGATTCACATAAACAGCTCAGTCACGCTTTCGAAGTGAAGACAGGAGTAAGACAAGACAAGGCACCCACCTACCATCATTGATGATTTTCCTGATTGTGGTGGAGTGGACTGGAGTGGATCATGCAACAAACTGTGAGGAGTGAGAAGATGAGCATTCATCAGCCAATATATCCCAGTATGTCTCTCTTAACATACTTCTCAACTGTAGCAGCCTATTCCATGGATCGCATCTGGACTACACTTTCTTCAATTGGCATCCAGATGAGTACTTATACAATTCGCCACACACTACGTGTGAAACACATACAGTGCAATGGTCAGAATGCATCAGAGGAGCAGTTAGTTCTTGACGATGAAACATCACCTGTGGAGTTCAAAATGACACACAAATATGTGCTCCTTTGAATAAACACTAAATCAACATATTGGCTTGAAATAAACTCCTCCCTTCTAATGTTGCCACATCTCTGAGATAATCTAGTTCACACATTCATCAAACCACTCACTTCATTCAGAGACACTCCATGATAATAAAAGTGTGGGTGTGATTCACCTCATGCTAGAAGGTAACAGGAACATCATAACACATTTTAGACTGCAATATGTGAAGAGACGTGATGAGCATTACACAACAGATGGCAGCAAATACTGTGCAGACAGGAGAGGTGCGTCAATTCTCTGTAAATAGTCCAGTAAATAGTCAATGACAACTTCACTGAATGAAGCTGTAGCATGCTCCTTACACACCTCGATACATTCCTCTTGCATGTCTCCACATGCCAGGATCACTTGATGAATTCATGTAGACGAGAAAAACAAAACAATAACAATGTTTATTACTATTTGTTGACATACTTGGAATTATTCGTTGTTTTTCTGGATTATTCTATGTGCCGCAACCAAACAAATTACCTCAAATAACAACGTTTGTTGTTCTCACTTCACAAAAGTATGCATTATCTATGACATATATCTTCAACGCAGTGAAATAAACAAGAGTTACACATGCTTTGTGACACTGAAGTATTCTGGCTACACATTTGTTTATTTCCCCTTGAGCATAAATTAATGTTGCATAGGGACTACTGCATTCTGAAAATGTTAAATAGGAAGTAGATGTATTTGTCTTCACTGCTGGTATCTCCTCTGTTTGATGTGTTGCTTTGAACCATTGGTGGAGTGCTTCTCCTCACCCATGACATCCTATTGTTGGTTACAGCATTGGGGTATCTAGATAAAACATACTTTCCAGCTGCATGTGTATGTGGAGATGGACACTTGGCTTTGAATGTTTTTGCTTTCCATCAGTTTAGTGAATCGGGAATGATAATTAGGCATTTGTGAAATATCGCAGATAAGTGTAGCCGTTTCTTCGCAATGTGGATGATTCTGACATCAGTAACGGTTGATTGAGTAAGGAGGTTGAAAGATAATTGCAACTGAGAGTAATATATATATATATATATATATATAATCTCAATTCTTCACACTTTTTCTTTCGCGTCAGTGCTATTTGTATTATTGTACTGATTTAGATAGCAACGACTTCGATCGACAAGCGGAAATTCCATTTTCTGACTGAAATGACTGTCGAAACATTGACTTCAGTCTTCGCTTAATTACAGAAAAGTCACATAATTTGCTCAATGTGTCTTTTAGAGACGTCCTAACTCAAATGATGTATTTGTCTTTGCAAATGTTGTATAATTCAAGTGTGAGGATGTTGTGAAAAACAAAATCCTGGTTCTCAGCAATATACATTCCTCAAGGCAGACAAGTGGCGCTTCATCTTCAAGTGAAGATACTCGTAATTTCTTACTAGACTTTTCTGTTTCGATGAGACGAGTCGAGTAGTGTTGCCAAAAACAACAATAATAATTCTGAGATCATGATTGCTCGAATAGGTCAAAAATTGACTTGCAGTTACAATAATTCTACCACTACAAAACAACCAACCTAATTTGATTGCGCTAACTCACAATGTGAACTGACAACGCTCACTTCCATATTGCATCAGTTATCAACATGTGTAGTCGACAGTTTCGATGGGAGTTTCGACAAAGTCGCTAGCATGTGTTGAACACCACATCGAAAGTCACTTGAATTGTTGCATGTTATCAAAAGAACCGAAGTCAACTTCGAAACTTATCCTCTTACTCAATCTATATTTCGCACCACAATCTTTCCTAATTTTATCACACTTAGCTACCGTCGCTCTCATTCTGAGGCCCACCTAATTCCAAGCTTTGAAATTCAGTTATTCAAAAGAATCTCTAATTTCCCCTGATATATATTATTGAACGCCAAAACGGTGAAATCATTGCTTTCGTTGACTGCTCAACCGAAAATACTTCTTGAATATGGTCGGAAAGTGAAAAGTACATGAAATTTAAGATGAAATTCCTTATTCATTGGATTACATTAGAGATGAGAATAGAAATGAAATTATGTTTGTGCATTTACTGAAGCGTCAGCTTTCGTCTGTGACTGACATGTGATAGAGTGTAAGAATGCCAAGCTGAAGGAGAACCCATGATCTAACGGTGTTCTGCAAAGAGAAAACAAACAGTTGATATGCACTTGATCCTTAATGTTAAGTTAGTGAAAGGCTACATTATAAAATGCAAGTTGTTAGTTCCATACCGTGAATGTATTCCACAAATTATAAGTGCATCGGGGACTAGACTACATGAAATTAATTGTTCTCCAGTCACCAATCAATGTATGGGTTGTCATGCCTAGCTGATTGATGAATTAATGAATGGAAGTACCTGGAAGCATAATCCCATTGTACGTTTCAAGATGCCTCACACACGTTACATTTTTATTCTCACATACAAAGAAGTGTGCAAGTGGAGAGTAGAAGTATAAAAATCTAGTGATGCCAGTAACACAAGTGGTGGCTGTCACTTTCTAGTTGCCTGATGGATAACGCTTTGTAATCTGAAGTGTGCGTACTGATTTCCATTCTGAGTGAGAACAACATCACTCACTGGGGTGGAGGCACATTCAGCTGATGAGTGCGAAGCAAGATGAAATTCGCGTTGTGGATTACACTGCTAGTCATCAGGTGGATTGCAACACAATTGGTAGTCAAGCGGTGTCTGGGCCTCTTCAGTCAAGTGCATCTCCAAACAGAAGTGCAGCAATCCGATCCATTTTGGCAACAGAGATTACAAAAAATAACAACCATCAGAAATGGAGTAGGTGCTTGACCCCTGATGATCAAAACTATGTAATCTCCATGACTATTTCAAGACAGTGTAAAACGTTGACACTTCAATGTTCATATACGAGGAGGTGTGAACACATTCTGTGAAACACAGTGTATGTCTGCTCAAATCTACTGAATTTGTTGCTCAACAGTAAATTAGGAGATGCATGTTGAACACCTCATCTCGAAAACTTATGAAAGGTGAGGGTGATAACAACGATTATTTGTTAATTTGTCGGAAAGTTTCACTTTCTAGATTGTGACAGCATATCGTTGAGGACGAAATCTCCTAATGAGTGTAAACGTCTATTACAGGTGACTATTTGTTTGCATTGCAGATTAGTGTTTGGTATTCGATATGAAGGTGGGAACTCTTAAGAATTATTAACAAATATTTTGATATCCATTTCAAATTGGATCAAACGTTTATGAATGCCAGGCAGCAATAAACGTTGTACACATACAAGTTTAGAATTGAGTGAACCAAATGAATCCATCTTCAAGTGTATGCACAGTAGGCTTTGGTGCTATTCACCAAAACATTCGTATTTCCATCACTCCTCTTCTGACCATTTCACTTTATGAAGTAAGACACCTACAATGATGATCTCTGTGTAAGCAGTTCTCAAGTCTTTTCATGTCTTTTCATGTCATGTCAAAATGTCCTTACTAACTAAGAATGAAGGAGACTAAACTTTCAGCAAACTAGTTACTGTCTTCTGATCTGGAGTTCAATTGTCCTCGTTGATCTTCGACCTATATTGGAATTACCAAATTACCGCCTAACTCAACATGTAGCATGAAAGCATCTAACGGGTATTTTTTTCACCTCATGTCACATCCATATGCAATAAAGGAAGCTCCAACTGGACCTTCAGCAAATTATGTTACAACCCATCTTTCATCTTTCACACTGAGAGGAAATATTTTGCCATGAAACTGCTGACTTCATGAATGACGCCAGTGAAGAAATTCGGATAATTTCGTGACATTGTTTTCTGATGATCTGGACACTGACGTATATTTTCAATGGATATTTCTGATATTGCTTCAAAACCGATCATGTCGGAATTCCCATATAATTTATTTACGCATAACTTTATTTGAAAGCAATCCAGATACTTGAGTGATAGATACTGTTGGATAACAATCAACTACATGTAAGTGTCTCTTCGGCTCAGAGAATATAACCGTTTAAGAAGTGTTTCCTTATGTGAATACTCTGGTTGATTCGAAAAATGGTGTTCCATCTCTCATTTGAATCTTGAGTATTGGAGATTCAACTGAGAAATCCTGCAGATGAAAAATGACTTCTACTTGCTGCCCTCAACAAATCTTGATTACTTGGTTACGATTAAAACAGATGAAACACAAACTTCAGTCAAGAAGGCATCAACAGGTGTTTAAATATCGTTATATTCAAATTTCCCACTTGTTCTTTAATTGAAAATGAAAATCAGAAAGACTTTTTGACTCACTTCCGTTGCTGACGTTTTTTATTCTATTGAAAATAGTTCGAAGGGTTTTCGTAATACTATGGCGAGAGTCTCTTTGTATATGAATTTTGTAACCACTATTCTGTTAGATAATGTTTTGAGTTTTCATTCAAAATCTGGTAATGATTGGACCAGGCAATAAGTGTTAAAGCAAAACTGTTATAGCTATGATGTTTGCTTTCATATTCTAAGTGGATGAATATGTCGATGAATAGTGATCTTCAGTTTAAAGTTTTTTGAAGAAGAATAAAATGTGTAGATTGTCTTACACTCGATGAAATCATTCTGTTAATACATGAGTAAAAGCAAAAACTCGTGATTTGATAGCTAGCTATCTGATATGATAGGCAACTAACTGGTTGTACGTTAAAATACTTATTTCTATCCACTGATGGCAAAGTATTCAAGTATGTGGTTTCTGGAGTACATATATGTTATTTCAGTCAACTCACTCATTTGATGAGGTATCTGAGAATTGGAAAGAACACTTCATCAAGTTTAATAAAGAGACCATTATTTGTTACTTTTACCTACTTTTGTAATGCCCCTAGTGTTAATACTCCCACCAATTCACAGGTCACCATTTAACAATTGGTACATTCCAAGACGACCTAAAGTAATCCAATTGAAAACTGTCATACGAGTGAGGATGAGATATTTGACCATGCTGGAAGTAGATGTGTGAAATGGAGAACTGCGTCTACCTAAGATATCACAAATTCGGTGAGTGGAGTATAGCTTGTTAGAAGTCGATAAACAGGGAGTTGACGTAACTCATGGCTCAAATTCTGCATATCACAGACTGTGCAAAGTAATACACAGAAGTCAATATGTGTTAACTTTCACTGATTATAAGGCTAGTGTATTGTTTATTGTGATATTTCATTATTCAGAATCGCTCTAGTCGATGACCCATGAAACTATGTTTTAGCCGACTGAGGATTACAGTTTACGATGTGACTACGGCCCAAGTATTGAGATTCGTCCAGCAAAATGCTGAATAATGAGTTTTCTCTGATGTTCATAATTCAGTATTTCTGCGCATTCACTAATTTATCCTTCTACCGAATTTATCGAGCACAGATTTCTAAGTGATAACTTATTTTCATTAAACATAGATAACAGGAAATCTTCAGTTTGTCAGTTTGACCATATTAAGCCGATAAATTATTTGTGATCAGGTGCCTATAATGTGTGTGTCTATTCCTACCCTTATAAAGGACTCGTTTACGTCTCACAAATAAGTTACAATACTTGTGAAAACAGTGACAGTTGCTGAGAAGTAGTGGAATCATTTCCAAATTCAACGTGAATAACCACTTCGTAGTTGTCAGTTCAACTCACAATCTGATAACTTTGTTCTTCCAGAATTGACTTAGCTTCTCTGCAGTTACTCATGGATAGTGTGAATGTATTTTACACTGCTTGTCAGTACAAAATGATTTTTCTCTCAACTTCCTCTTCAATGAATCACTGTGAAGTAGAAGTGAACGAATGAACTTCATGTGATCCTTCCAAGTAATCCCTAAGTAGAAATCTGGCACCTATCCTAGTACCCTTGGCTGAAGCGAGCACCGTTTTCATTAGGAGACCTAAAACCACCAAATTTTAACACAGAGAATGTAGACGTATTCCATGAAGCCACATATATTTTACCGAAAAACGCTTCAACCATTTCAAAGTGTTTAGAAATGCTCAGGATGCATTTAGTCTGAGTAATTTACAAACGTTGAATGCGAACCTTGTAGATGTGTGTTTGTAGTGTATATTTATGTTGTAACTATAGTGACTGCTAACATTTGACCATGCATTCACCAAACCGTTATTTATATCAGGAGAGAAAAGATATGACAACTGGTGTTTCATATGCATGAACAGCTTCCGTATAGGCTTTCTAGTCAACATATAACCAGTTATTCATTAGTTGGGAAAGATTTGAAAACCACGACGACATGATTTCGGGATGCACCGAATTTAATTTGCATGCCCCACCTCATTATGAACTTAAATTCCTAGTTGGCTGTATTTGACAACATACAGAACTAAACCAATTTATGAAACGTTTCCAGACAGTCTCTGTGCTTTTGAGACATCAAATGAATTTCAAGTGGAAGTGAAGGTTTGAGCAACACATTTTTGCAGGAGGTTGGCAGCCAAGATTCTGACGGACAGAATGATAAAAGGATCATGCAGTGGTTACGTTTTGATGGCACTGCAACAAATGGAATAAGTATTGTATCATCAAATGAAATATCATTTCAAACCATGCTGTAACATTTGTATAAGAAGTGGGTGTCGTAACTCAGTGGCCTAGTGGATAACGATCTGCGGTTTGCATCGATTTTTTCTGTGTTTAGGTCTAAGGAAGTACAACATCATTAGTGAGGGTTCTGGCACATTCAGCTGATGAGTCCTGAACATGATGGAACACGCACTGTTGATCCCATTGTTAGCCACTGTCCACCACTAATATCCAACACAGCTGAAATTCGGATAGCTCTCATTCATATTTACATCCATCGAGATAAGCCGTGGTCTGGTAAACCAGCTGGAATACAAATAACAACAACAATCAACACCCGGCACCTGACAGAAATGAAAGTGATGAAACTGAAGCTATACCACATAACAAATTATTGCGTGATCTCAGTATTGGTTTCGAAGATAAGTGCAGAAAGATGTGCATACACTGATTGGATTCTCGAAGAATCCTCATTGATCGGACTGGCTGATATTGAGAATTTCACTGAAGTAGAATCAATCAGTGTACATCATTTATTCAGAGTGGCTTAGAAACGTTACCGACACTGGTTTAGTTTATCCGACCAATATGCAAGTTGTTATTCATGTGTATTGGTATTTGTCATACTGACGCAATAAGTGTAGCATGACCAGTCTTTCAATGATTGTATGTAGTTGTGAAGAAAACGAATTTCTCTGAAGTGTCTCACCTGATTCACTCACTGGATTTCAATATTCAAAGACTAGGTGAAATTCTCATGACAATAGGTTGTGGTTGATTGAATATCGTAACGAATTGGAGATAATATTTCGAAATGAGTCAACACTATTTATGTCAAGCATGACAGCATGGGGTCTGTCAAGCATGTTTATAAGTAAAATTTAAAACCCGAAACACTATATACTCACCTGTAGTCATCGTCATCGGTTCCTCTGCTATTCTGAAGTGGAATCAAAATGTTTAACAATCATTAATTACTGCTACGAGGAAAGTTAGCAGGAGAAGGAGGAACACAAAGTACCACAAATAATGTCAGCACTAGAAAGTTGGCTAGTTCAGCCGTCGGATTACGTGGACTAACTTCAGCGAGGCAAAACCTTTCGTTGAAGTGCATGGAGATGATCAAAACCACAGTGCTGACCTTATAGAGGTGAGAGCCAAATTCTGTAATTAAATTATAATCTGTTATTTTTGTGATTAGCGATAGTCATTGAGTCCAGAAGAGAATTGATCCACTTAATCAGGAACGTAAAATTGTACAATGGAAGGGGAAACTCGTCTCAGAATGTCTGTGCTATTCAGTTTAGCCAAACAAAATTTGTATACCAATAGGGCCGTGTGTGTCAAATCCCTTCCTGAAGTGACAAATAGTAAAATCTCACTAATGATGCCATCTCGGAACACGTCATAATTAATGATGAGTGATATATCTCTTCTGATATGCCCAGTAATAATATTGAAAACTTCATGAACAGACGTGAGGGCGGGTAATGAATCAAGCAGATCGACGGAAAATTCAACAGGCTTCTCACTTCATGTGTTGTTGAAGGGCTTACAACAAGGTTGCACTCAGAGAGCTTCGTCTTCATGCGTCCATAAAACGGAACAGTCAAGGTTCATAAACAGGTAATTTTTTGGACAAAGGCACAATTTTCCTTACTTGATATGTCACAAGCGTTGTATAAGACTGATTTGACGGTCTCGTTTGCCAATCCAGTACTATGTAATGTGTCAAAAGGCAAACATTCAAGAGTCCGATGCACAGAATAAGAAATGGAAAATGCATTACAGTGCTAATTCTACATTTGGCCAGATTGGCCAGATTGCTATGAACTGACAGTTGAAGGTAATTTAACCATATTCTCATTCCCAGCTGCCAATCAGATCCTGCTTCCCTCCAGTCACCATGGATTTTGCCTGACTACCATGTGAATACGTGATGTACAACTACCCGATCATCGTATTCATGCAGACTGTCCAGTCAAGTCTTCACCTGTCAATGAAAATCGAGCTGAATTAGAAAGGAGGAGCATCATATTGAGTGTTTGTGTGGCTGTGTGACAGAGCTGTCAAGGTTGTATAACATATACTTCATTTGAAACACACTAGCATTCAACTTCATACATTCATTAATCGAACGGTCTCAGCTGTTTCTATCCATTCTCCCTACAGAGTGACTGTTTCATCATCCTGTTCATTAACAATCTCTAATATACGTTGAAAATGATGTGATACACTTCACAGAAAACTGTAAGGAATTTTAATATGAATTCCTTGAAAATAATATCCTGAATTTTTCCAAAACATAACTCACTTCAGTGTAACGTTATCTGGAAATAAAGGGAAGAACAATATTGTCTTAAATTGGGCATACAAATGCCAAATTGACTGAAGCATGAACTAAAGTATGACCACCAATATCAAGTCACATACAGATTGGTGACTATGAAGTAAACTCTAAAATATCGAAAAATAGCCGAATCATCCATTTTCAATAGTGATAATTCCCATGAAGAGATATTCCCGTATATCCAGAGCAGAAGTGCAAACCGGTAAATATCAGCCAACTAGTCTCTTCGCGTTCCTGATAAGTCATATCATTTTCGCACACAATGTCAAAATGTAGACTGCTGTCAAATTTCTATTCTCGTAGTTTTCCCTCTTTCAGTTCTGCATAACAGCCCACATAAGGGAAGCACATTTTACATCTTTACAGGTTAGATCACTCCAAGTCTATGGAGATGAACGTGGTAGTGAAGAATTCTGTGGCAATAGACTTTGAATTGTTTACCTCTGAAATACAACTCGTACACCAAACTGATCAGTCTTCTTGTGAAAAGTTTATCTGACTGTCATCTGAATGACTATCTCATAACTGTCAGTTTGCCACCCTTCTTCTAAGGCAGCTATATGTTTTAGACATAAATTGATTTCTTAGTGAGCATTTTGATTGATTGAAGGTAACAAACGAACTTTCTTCAGTAAACATATATATCGATAACCAACACTCAGAGTTGTCTTTATTCAACTGAAAACAGGAAGACACGTCAATCGGGTGAATATTTTGGTACAAGAGTTCACTAATTATTGCTTATTACATGTCTCATATCTGATCAGTACCTAAACGCTGTTCCGATGAGTGTTTCCGAGTCTCCTGACTGATTTACACCACGTATCTTGACAGACACAACATCTTTCACCGATATACTGAATATCCCATACATTATAAAATATCTTTCCCGTATTTTTATGGAATGATGAATCTGATGCTTTGATGTCGGCGAAATGTTTTCAGAACTCCTGGAAAAGATACCATTCTCACACTTTATGATAGAAAAATTTCATTCAGTCAGTCACCTTCAGTTGGTGATGAAAAGAAAGAATGGATAAAGTTGTCATGTTACCATATAACTTGTCATATGGAGCATAATATAAACATGCACAAGATAAAAAGCGTTGAAGCATTCCTCTCTTTATACCATGTGTGATAACAGGCCTTACAGAGTTCATTTTGTGCAGACTTCGAGTTTTATTACCCTCATGGTTTTAGAAGCTACTTTGTACTAAGATTGTATTGCGCTAAGCTAATATTAGTTATTGCAATGTTCATCGTGCTCTTTGTGCAAAAGCCAGCTGCAGAATTATCTTACGACTTCCTCATTGCATATTTACCATGTAAAATTAGGTCCGCTTAACAATATCTGTAAACAGTTCTGTTGGTAAACAGATGAAGAGTTTCAATCACTTTGTTTTCAGATGATGAGGGCGAGGCAAGAGAGATGCCTTGAATTACATTTGTGGTACATGTAAGAACAAATATCCTGTACATTGTGCACATCATTCTCCATCTTAGTTCTTAGATCGAATAGGAACTGGTACAGTGATAAGTTATTGGAGACCTTGAATAAATACAGTGATGATTTAGAATGTCAACTTCCAACCAGGTTCCAAAGCGTCAGAATATTAATTTGTGACCAAATCGCAATCGTCTTCGAGTTTGGTGGAGAGAAGTAGGATGATTGCTGAGTGGGATTATATACCTTGACAGGTTTCGAGATTGACGAGACTTATGGATTTCACAAAACAACCTGAAATCTGTAAACATATCCGAATGTTTCATAAATTCTTCAGAATGCTCCAGATATCGTAAGGCAAGTGAATTCAGGAATTTGCTAGGGTGCTGAAAATGATTCCATTAGCTGATCGAGGCATTATTCACCACTCTCTATGATTTCGATCAGTGGACATTAGCAGAGAATACTCTCTCTTGCCATATGCCATACAGACATAGTCAACTTCCTGATACACACCATCTTACTGACGTTCAATTATCTATTCAATACTTCACCATACGATCTAGCAAGTCAACACAAATAGCTTCCCAGGTTTTAGTTTATGCTTCAGAAACAAATCTGCAAGCCGTTTCATTTTCCACTTTTGCTGGCAGTGAAATGATTGAGAAAATGTAGTTTAACATCTTCGTATCCTACAAATATCCATGTATTAGATAAGTGTATTATGCGAATAAAAACATATCATGCACCTACATGTTGGGCCAGGATCTGAATGATCCAAGTTTCTAGAAAAAAAGGAGGATATCTTCCATTACAACCTACTCAATTTGTCAACGAATATTTGAAGATTATTACCTATCAGAGTTTCCAGATTGGCATTGACAGTATTAATAATACACAGAGTATCTTTCGTCCATCATTATTACAAATACATTTTGATGAATGAGAAGTTGGCATAGTGTTCGAAGTGATCAGCACCAGGACTTGAAATACACTACTGCATTTCAACAGGTTATAATTTAATCATCGAATATGTTGATGTTGCAGAACGTGTTACCTGAGATCGTGTTCAACTATATTCGTACTCGAAATTCACTTAATGCTTTACATTTGTGAAAACTGCTTAAATGCCAATGCTTATGTTTTATATGATACAATGTGACATACTAAGCTGATCTCAGCTTCCAATCCTGCCTAGGGACATTGATTATTGGTTGTTCTTGATTTCGAAATTTACATGAATGTAGAGATGTTCAAGTTGTGTTGTCATGAGTTGAAATGTGCTGCTCAATGTCAGGTTGATATTGACATTCAAGTGAGCACCACCAATTTGAAACAAAAAGTATTTCAAAGGGATAAAGTCTCTAATGATCAGGCATTCATAATATTTATGTGAATTCAGATTGATGATAGAAAAAGGAATTGTGTAGTGAACAATAAAAACCACTGTCTCAAGTGTTGTCAAAATAGTGCACAAATTCCTGGCTGTCAGGCGACTGACATTAGCCAAATAGTTACTTACTCTTCTACTTTTCCCCCTGAAAAACAAAACAATTTTCCTCTAAAATTCAACTGAATTCCAAATGAACACTCTTCAAAATGAATCATTTCAAAACAACCCAACCATCTATGTCAACACTGTAACAAAGTGATGAGAAGATTCGTGACTGTCAAGTCGTGTTGTTAGTTTCAAGAATTTCAGTCACTTCAGTATTTGTTTTCTAATTAGTTAAATGGGGTCTTCTAAGTTAAGTTATGCAAGATGAATTTCTATGAATGCCATATCTCATTGGATTTAGTACCGCCCCCCCCCTCTTGCATGGGAATCAATAATCATACTGGTCGATCAACTTTGGTTGACAACTGTTGTGTTGGATCGGTAACACAACTTCATAATGACCTTAAGGCATAGAAAACAAACATGTCCTCACTGAATTGAACACACTGACATATTGATCAAAGCTTGAGTTCCATACAAAAAACTTTGTTCATGCATCAGATAAGGTGAATCCTGTGCCTAGTCAGGTGTTTGTGTTTCAAATATCTTAATATGAGTAGTGATTCAGTTATCCATTATATGTTTATGGAGTTATCTATTATAAAATGCCATTTTACTAAGATTCTTTTCAACATTTCACTACACCAGAGGATGGAAATAAATTCTTCCTTAGGGGAGGATGCGTTTACCACCATCATGAATGTTGTATACTTTGTGGACTTTGGTATCTCAAGACAGGTGATTGTAATAACGCTCTTTTGATTACTGTCCTTCTTGATGAGATCAGTTTTGTTCCTCTGAAGAGAATAACATACATTTCATGTAAATATCTACAATATTATTGCGTGTTTCAGTCATAAGCTTCACATTTTGAAGCAGAATTTATTCCTAGAGAAATGTAGGTCTATCAAATAAAATTCATTTCATTTTTCTGACAGTTGAAGTGTTTACATCCCTTCATAGACTTCCATAGTGGAGTGGTATGTACAGTAGCCACTGTTAAAGTATTCTGACAGCGTTGTCGATAGAGTAACCTTTGAGAATATGGGTTTACATTTCTGAAGTTTCATCACTCTTTTCCTACTCATTATCATTCGTGACAGAGAAATCTGGTTTGGATTAACTAATAATAGTAAAACTGGATTTCAGAGTATCTGACAGTTGTAGCACACTGCAAAACAACAAAGTCTATGATGATGAGAAAATATTGCAGCTCAGCATAAAGAGAATGATGGTTTGGATTCTTGTGACCCTTGATATTTTGCCAGTGAAGTTTCATCTTCAGGCTTACTGACATCCTCAACTCTAAATAAAACAGTGTACATTATTTTCGAAGCAACCCAGTGAGTGGTGGGGTGGAGAGAATGTTTGCTGACAAAACTGCATCACTTTTGGTGTACTTATTCATCAATAGATACTTTCACACCAAAACAGTCTAACATCCTCCCCACACATGATGATAATTAGGAATTTGAAGTCAGAATTCGGAAGTGGATTGGTGATGTGAGTTGCTGCTTAATTCCACTTGTGTATATGAGGCAAGCGAGGAGCAACTAAACAGTTATACAGTAGTGGAAACTTACATAGAAGTCTGTATAGGAATCCGGCATCCGATGTTGGTAAATGCGCACCACCTGTATAACCACAAAAATGCAGAAAACACAAATTTACCAAGACCGAAACATTTCCAGACTACGACATTACTCCTCATACTCATTACTCCTTATTCCAAATAACTGAATCAAAATGTTGAGGTAATAGATGAATGTCTGTTGAGCACTTTCGACTCCTCTATTCCTATTGTAGTTTGAGTGAATTGTCAACATTATCCACCCTACAATTAATCACAACCTATTCCTATTTCAAACTTCACGCTTTCTTCCAAATTCACTATGATTTCAATTGGTTAGATTTTGTAATTTCGCACTGAATATAAACATGAATATTGGTGTAAGATTCGGTGTCCCCAAAAAGAGTGATTGATTTCACTTTTCACTACTTCCAATGTTTATGTTCCCACATGGATTACAACATTGTGTCTGGGATTAGGGTTTCAAAGCAATAATGTTTGGCAATAATGTATGCAGACAACAAGCAAGTGGCACATGTAACAAATGGATGCATCAACTTACATATGAATAATACGAGGCTTGCAAGTAACAGAGACCTCATCAGGTATACAGAAGTGTGGAATCAACTCAGAATAAGCTATTATTCAACCTGTGTATATTTATACATGTTTGGTACAAAGTTGTTCAAACAACAACGCCTTCTCACTGGTTGTGTTGTGGAAGTGAAAGTGTGCATGTTCGGAACGTGTTGATTAATACGGCAGAATTCATTCTAGTGACACATTTTATCTCATCACACACTAACCACAACATGTTGTTTTCATTAACCAGCTTGTATATTTGTCACACGATAGTTGGTGTGAAACAAATTTCACCCATTACTTTATTTAACAAACTATTAAAATATGTTTATGAAAGACAAATGGACAGTGCTTAACAAAACATGAACACTATGGCAGTAGCAACAGGATATTCCAAAGATGTGTTATTTCATACAATACATGGAATTCATTCTTGCATTGACTTCTGTGTCGATGGTGTCGATGAGAAACATCTTTGTGAGGCTTGAGACTATGACCAAATATGTAGTCATATGATCAAGAGATGTGTTGAACTGGATTTCAGAGTGACTGACTACTTTGTGCTGTAGACCACATTTCATCTATAATTCATCCCGTTGATTTACTACTGGGGTTAATTTTAAAACCACTTTCTTAAGTATCTCAATTCTAATCATACAGTCAGTTTTAACATTATCCCATATCTCAACCTCTGATTGTGCTCGATACCAACTGCTTATCTGTTTATATCCGAACTCTCATGACAGAATATTCATTTACATTTGTTCGCTAGTGGAAACAATCTTGGCTGAGTCTGTTGTCAGCATTTGTTGACTATGTTTATTCTCTGAACAGGGAATTCGCATTCCGTTTCTAGCCATAGGAGTAACAATGATCAGCATTATAACCTGCACTGCTTCCATCATTCACAAGAAATTGCACTCAAAACCACTTTTAAACCTTACAATGTTGCTGTTGTTGTTTCATTACCAGTAACACTTTAAAGATTAAAGGGGTAAATAAATTGATGAAGAAGCAATGAAATAGGAGACAAAGTGGAAGGGGTGGATCACTGGATTCCGATTCAGTGGTTCCATGGTCACGTCTTGGCCGTGGAATTGGAAGGCCATCATTTATTTCATAGTGGAGTACGCACTACTACTACTGCTACTACTAGAACGAAATAGATGTCCAGTACTCAGAGAAATATTCATTGGTTCCATAAATGGCGTTATTTCGTGATGAACAGACTTGTAATCGATAAAATCCCCTCAAACTTGTAGAATGAAATCAATTTGAGATCCCTTGATAAATATAGACAGAGCAAAAGGGAATGGATTTGTCAACTCATATGATCTCATTTCATTTCGTGAAAACGCCTCAGCCGCATAGAGTTTTAATGAAATTAACACATAAGATAATTTAAAACTATGAATTCAGTAGACATAAGTTGCACATTCAACCCATTGCAGACTCAAGATATACTATTAGAAGGTTCGAGATTTGTACACATGTAGGTAAAAATGTAAGAGAAAAGAAACACTTAATGCCAGCTGACATATTGTGCACCACGTCAAGAAATGACATCCGTAATATTGACATCAACTCAGTGAGTTGAAATCAGCAGGTGAATACAACAAGGAGTTATGTAATTCACATGACATTTGTGAATGAACAAACAATATTATCTTGGATAACTTTTCTTCACATCCTACACTTACTTATACAGGCATCTTGATGCAAAATTACACAACATGGACGTATAACTGTAAGATCTGGAGAAAACGTCATCGAAAGAAATATCCTTTGTTCATATAAATATCTTTTGAATCATAATAGGAGATTTTATGGAGCTGAGTTACATAATACTTCAAGATGAGTGAAGATCTCATTGCGATCATAAGAGAAGTGAGGGGCTGACCATAACTGAAAAGAGCATCCAGAGAAGTGATACTTCGACTAGACAGTACCTTTACTACAACACAGTCTAGTCGAAACATATAACAGCTGAGCTGGAAGTTTATGTCCTATGAACAAGTTTCTGGAAGAACTAAAAATTATTGAAAAGTGTCTTAAAAGAGAATGTATATTCATAGAGATTAACTATAAAGTCTACGAAATAATATATTGGAAAAAATCAACACCCAACTGATTAAGTTAAGGTTTCATTCACCAAGTGAGATGGAATATCCGGGAGGATGGACACGAGAATGAGAATAGTTCTCACAAGAAATGTTCTAGCAGCCAAATTGCATCAGTATACAAGACTGGGTCAGTTCAAATAGGACATATGCAATAACTTTGTCACTTCCACCTGCATTTATGCATTTGCATGGAATTGCAGGAGTAAGTGGACTTGAAAGACTAAGAGTCAGTCATCTATACAGTCAACTATGCATATTCTGAATAATGTATACCTGAAAGGAGGCAATATTCCATCCAGTGCCACTAGTTGATAATCCATAAACACAGAACATACAGGTGATTTTCCTGGTACTTATACAATACTAAACATGCAGAACATAAATGGATTACTACACTTAACTGAAGCGGTTGATGTAGAAAACGCTCTCAGTCAGTCTGTCATGTCCATGTTGGCTGTAGTTTCACCTTGTACCATTTCGATATGGAACATAAATCAACTCTTTGAAATTTTCTATGATAATTCAAAAAGTATTCGAATGAGCAAAGAATATGAAGAAACGGAGAATACTTGTATTTCAGGAGGATGATCTTGAATGATTCGCATCCTTTGAGTTGAAAGATTCACGATCAAATCAATCAGCTCAGAGAACTCAAAACAACCAAGAACTGCGAACATATTTTTCGATAACGTTTCCTTGAGGTCCTACAGTTAAATATTTTTGTTTCTTCAATTCCGTGATAATATGGACTGTAAATTTGTATGTCGCTTGTCCTCGCCTACGCTGTGTAATTTAACCCTTGTATCCCTTTTCATAACCTCAGTTTTATACTACTTAGTATTATTGAGTGGTGTAATTTATGGTTTCTGTATGGTAATTCACTCACAATCTGACAGTTCATTCTATTCAATTGTATCTTGCTCAACATTAAACATCCTTGGATATCAGTACTCTTACTTGTTAATGACGTTGATGGGATTCATTTTGTTGCTCCCTGGTGTTCTGTTTCACCTTGACTATTTATTTATTTATTGTTCTTACTATTTATTCTTTGTGTTCCTTGTGGAACTTAGGGCTTCAGCAGCATGTGGCCATTTCACTCTCTTCTCTGCAGTCTTTTCAACCTGTCTCCACACCTGCCCACAAGCTTTCATTTCTTCTTCACACGATCTCCTCCATGTCACAATCGGATGCCTAAATTGTCGTCTCTCCTTTGGGTTCCTCTTGAAGGCCTGGCCTGGCACTTGACGTCGTCAGTCTTCTCAGTGTATGTCTAATCCACCTCCACTGACTATTTGTTTACTTGGCGCATTTACATCATTGTGAAGAAATACACACATCCTTAGATTCGCTTCTGGTTCGCTTTAGACACGGGCTAACACGTAGCTCTAGTGTTTGGTTTATTGTTGGAGAATCATTTTAACTACGGACTTCTACACAAGAAATTCACACTGATTTAGAACTGTAGGATTCAAATAAAAAAGTTATCGAAAAGTATTTCCTTCATTCACTCAAATGTCTTTTGAAATACATTTAGCTCTCCACTTTACTGACTTAAAGTTTTCAACTCACCGAGTGGAACAAAAGATTTAGATTCATCTATATTTCATGCTTTGTATATCACAAGTTAATTTTATCTGCTTCGTTACTTCATAAGAAAATGTATGCACATTTCTTAAATTTTTATCCTTGACTCAGGGAAGTTGAGTCTAAATCTCTGTTAGTGTTTGATTTTGGCTCTTACAACAATGCGAAAAATATTTTCAAGCCATGCGGAATCTCATTTAAACGAAACTATCAAGGGATATAAGGCGAAGAGCCGGTCAGTGTTTGTGCCATATAAACCAACATTTTGACGAATATATTTTAACATTGTCTTTCTAACCGGGAGGAAAATTCCATTTTTTACTAATGACAACAAAATCAGCATTAGTATGTGAAATGAAGTACAACCTAACAGCAAGTGATAGAATGGGAAATGAGAAAATGGACCTAAAATGGAGGGTGTAAGACACAAACTTCATTTACGATACGATTTCTCTCGTGATATTACGCATCCAACTTTACGTGTACAAAGCATCATGCTCAAAATCAGTCTTAGCAGCTGAAACGTTCGCACCCACATAACGATTGTAAAGCTGAATGAAACAACTGGGTGTGAGCGAAAAAATTCATTTTACATTGGACTGCAAGGCGCTGGAATTAATTTCTATCTCAAATGGAACACTAACAACTCAGGAGGAATATATGTAACAGAAGCGTCGAGTATTCCAGGCAAATCCCAATATCCTAAGTGAAATTCGCACCATATTTCTTCCGAAATTCTTACCCAGTCGCAAGCAAGACATATAAATGCTGAATTACGAAACTAACTCCTATGAGAAGACGAACATAACAACACTTAAATAAATAAAGTTACAAGAGAAGTGGGAGAAGGAAGGATAAGGAGGTTCAGAAGGAAAATAAGACAAAACAAGCAAATGGTGCAAATTCACAAGGGAGAAGGGGTACCAGGAAGAACAAGGAAATGTGCAAAGAATGATAGAAGAGACTAGCAAGCGAAGGGAAGGTGAGTTTAAAAGAACTAAGAGTAGTCAGCATTCAAAAATAAAAGGAACAGTAACGATGCGTATGATAAGCTTCTCATCAACAGAATACAAGTGTTATTCCATACATGAGGTAGAGTATTCTTCCCTCTGCATTTCCACATATGAAACGGGGAGTCTGGTTGAAGTCGGCTCACCATGTCATTGAAACGTGCCGATTACATGCATCAGCACAGTCATCAACATGATTTTCAAAATGTCAGGTAATCATATTGTTTGATGAATTTCCTTGTAGCAAAAACAACAGCAACACACCACAATGTTTGTTGTTTTCACTTCATGAAAATATTTATTATCTATGACACAAAT